GACAGGGGGCGTCGGGGGAGCCACGGTAGTTCACTGAGCCTCGGTTTCCTCATCCGTCCGACGGCGGAAGTAAACGTGCACTGGTGATCTGGGACACACCTTATTCCATGAGCAGGAAACCACTAGGAAAAGGACGCTGTGACCGCTCGTCTCTGGGGTGTCGCTACCAGCCGTGCCCTGAGGTGTGAGCAGTCACTGGATACAGGGGCAGAAGCGAGATGTAAAGAACAAGTCCAATCTCCAAGGCTTTTCAAAAAATTTAGCTCGAATAACAACCATTTGTGTTCTGATTAAAAACAACAATAACCACCTGCTAATCGGCACTTGGTGGCTTGCTTAATTTCTCGGGAGAACTACAAACACGCGGTCTGGATAAAGCAGATGGCAGGACGGGTGTTTCAGCCACTCACTGCTTACTGACGGCAAATTACATGCGAAAAGGAAATAGCTGCAAAGGCCTCTCATTGGCATTAGAGACACAGTTTCTGGGCAGGATATTGAGTCTGAGAATGAAAACAAATCCTAGAAAAATTTAAAATACAAAAATTAACTCCAACAGAAAATCTGTATAAACCAATAATTTGGTGTACCAAAGATTTACACGACTTTTACTAAGACTTCAAGGAGCAGATATATTATCCTAGTTCAGAAAAAAAGAAAACGTCCCAGCTCATTTTACAAGAGTAGAATAATCTTAATAAAACTGGGCAGAGGGAGAGTAGGCAAAGAAAATTAAAGACAAACTTCACCTACAAACATTTAAGCCGAAAGTGTAATTTTCGCATTTATGCAAAAATTTCTCAGCAAGAGCCCTGGCCTCCGTGTCACCAGGCACCACCAAAGCCCATGGTGGTCAGAAGACTCGATGTCCCTCCCTTCACACCTTGGCCCTGAAAAGCCTTCTTGAATCTCAGTAATGATCTGGAGTGAGGCGGAATCCGCCATGGCCCTAAAGCTAACGTTCCCTGCAGCCCTGGGAGAGGGGCCGAGAAACACAAATGGAGTTGAGTCACAGAAAACAGTCACAGTTCTTGCACTGGGGTTTGTGGGCTGATTCACACAATGCTCGTACACCTCCAGCCGTGTGACGATTATGTGCCCACATCTACGCGTGTGTGCCTGGGCTCCGGAAGTGTACAAGTGACGGTGGCCTTGGTGGGGGGCTGCTCGCTCAGACCCCTGGGGAGCCAGGAGATGCGGTTACAAAAGCCAAGGGGGCCCTGACTTCCACCTCCAGGCCCCTGAAGAACGTCATTCATCAGTGTGGGGGGCACAGAACAGTTCCTATCCTCCCTAAATACCACCTGCCACACACACGTGTCTCCTGATTCAAGGCTGAAGTCCACAGCTAGAATGCAAATACACAGACAAGCGTAGAGAAGACAGTAAATCGCTTTCCCAGAGCCCACCACGCAGGGGCGGCGTATTTCTGCCATTGTTTTCCCTGTTTCCATTTTCTGGTCAAGTAGTCACTGCCGCGCTGTTCCCCCCACGAATGTTTTAACATAATCATTTCCCCATGTCATTAAAAACTTTCTAAATCAATATTTCAAATGACTGAGCACTAGTCCATTGTACAGACATCACAGTCACTTACTTGTCATTTTCTCTGGTGGACATGTAGGACGTTTCTGGACTTGGGCCCCTACACACAAGGATGTACCACGAAATCTCATCTTTCTTCTTTCCCATGGGGCTCACACGGGGTCAGGGCTGCACCCAGGAGGAGAGACCCAGACTCTTCTCTCTGCTCTATTCCATGCCAGTCTGGCCCAGAGCTGAACACAGGCAAACCTCGGGGGCACTTGTGGCCTGAGCCACAGGTGGTAGGCACAGGTGGTCGGGGGCAATGTCCTGTGGGAGGCAGAATAACGGCCCCAGAACTGTCTGCATCCTAATCCACAGGACCTGTGACTATGTTACATTACGGGGCAAACAGGGCACCAAGGTTGCTGAGCCACTGACCATCAGATAGGGAGGGCATCCTGGATTATCCAGGAGGGCCCAGTGTTATCATGGGGGTCTTTGGAAGTAGAAGGGGCAGGCAGAGGAGTCAGAGTCAGTGTGATGCAGCGTGAGAAAGACCCAACCGGCCACTGCTGGCTGTGAAGGAGAAGGGGCCACGAGCCAAGGAATGCAGGCGCCCCCTAGAAGCTGGAAGAGGCCAGCACACAGATTCTCCGCTGGAGCCCTCAGAAGGAAGGCAGCCCTGCAACACCTTGATTTTTGTCCGCTGAGACCCACGTCAGACTTCTGACCTGCAGAATGTAGGAGCATACATTTGTGTGTTTTTTTTTAATGTATTTTTTATTTTTATTTATTTATTTTTTGTGAGGAAGATCAGCCCTGAGCTAACATCTGTGCTAATCCTCCTCTTTTTGCTGAGGAAGACTGGCTCTGAGCTAACATCTATTGCCAATCCTCCTCCTTTTTTCCCCCAAAGCCCCAGTAGATAGTTGTACATCATAGTTGCACGTCCTTCTAGTTGCTGTATGTGGGACGCGGCCTCAGCATGGCTGGAGAAGCGGTGCGTCGGTGCGCGCCCGGGATCCGAACCCAGGCCGCCACCAGCGGAGCGCACGCACTCAACCACCAAGCCACGGGGCCGGCCCCATTTGTGTTGTTTTAAGCCACTAAGTCTGTGGTCATTTGTTACAGCAGCCCTGGGACACGGACACAGCCCCAGCTGCTGGTGTGGGGCTGGGCACTGTCCACACTCACGTCCCGGGCTCGTTAGTTGGCTCCTGAGTTTCCCACCCGTCCACACACGGACGCCTCCCACACCTTTATCCCCAGTCGGGACCTCGCCCTGACTCCAGACATCTGGCTGTCTTCTCAACACCCCTCCTCGGAGCCCAATACGATCTCACACTTACCGCGTCCAAAACCTGCCTGTTGGTCACCTTACCCCTCCCAGCCACCCCTTTCCCAGCATGTCCGTCCCAGGAAAGGACCCCACCTTCACCCCACCACACAAACCAAACCTTGGAGCCACCCTGGTCCACACTCCACTCGGCAAAGCCCCCAGCTCAGCCTGCAAAGAGCACCCAGGATAGGACCCATCTCCCCTCTGCCGTCCCACCCTGGGGTCCACCGTTTCTTCTCAAATGAACCCCTGCAGGGGCTCCTCCCATGCTCACCCCACTGCAGCTTCTCCTCCTTTTCAAATATGACCTCATGACGTCACACCCTCGCTCTCAAATCTCCACTAGTCTCTCACCCCACTTAGAAGAAAACCCGGAACCCTTCCCCCGACCTACGAGGGTCCTGAGTCACCCTCCTTGTGCATCTCTGACCTCAGCTCCTACCATCCTTCCCCCTTGGTCTCTGCGCTCCAGCCACCCTGGTGCACTCTCACTGCAGCCTTTGCCCCTGCAGTGTCCCCCTTCTAGAACATTCTTCCCCCAGAGATCTGCATGGCTCACTGCTCAGCACCTCAGGGTGTCTGTTCTGCTGTAACCTCTTCAGTGAGAGCCCCACCCCCCGCCAGCACCCTGCTTTTTTTGGTGGTGGGTGTTTCCATCACTCCCCACCTCCCGACGTCACATTACCTAGTTAACCTGTTCATCATCTGCCCATTGGCTCCTGCTGCACCCCAGTGCTGATAAACACATGAAGGCATTCCCGGGGGGCGTGGTGCGTGGGAGCCGAGTGTGCATGAGGAGCTCAGCCCGGGCTCCCCTGGAGAAGTGCTGGGGCTCACGGACAGACGACAGCAAGACAAACCCAGACAGTGGACGTCCTGCCCAGCAACGGACATGAGGAGGCCCCAGAGAGTGTCCCAGGAACATGGACAAACCCAGAGAAGAGCGGTGGGGTGGGACGTAGGGGACAGAGCTTGGCAAGGAGGGAGGAGGAGCTGGCGGCTTCAGAGGGTCCTGAGTCCCGGGGAGCTGTAAACACTGCCCTCTCTGGCTACCCAGGAAAACGGGCTCCTGAGAGGAAGAGTGACCCCGTCCCTCCCAAGACCCCTCTGCCTCCTTCACCAAGACTCTGATGAAGCCCCTCCAGGGGCCGACTGGGCACCACTCATTCACTCTTTCATTCCTTCACTCATTCATTCAGCAAGCGTCTATTTCCAGACACTGTCGTAGGCACCGGGGTAAATACAGGGACGAACCAGACAAGGTCCCTGGCCCCCTGGGGGCCCCTGTCTGTCCCCGTCTCCCGGCCACCCCTGCAAGAGCATCCAGGGAGGACACCAGAGTCTGATCCTCTGCCTTCAGGCACCTCTGGGGAACGCCGTGGCAGCGTGCAGCTGGTCACCACCCGGCACCAAGCAGAGGTGTCCCAGAGTCACGGGGTCAAGTCCTGCCCTGCCACTTCCCAGTGTGGGTGCCCTCGGGCCCATCCTGGAGCCTCAGTTTCCTCTCCTGTGCAGGACTCCCGCAGAGCTCGTGTGAAGATGAGATGAGACAACACGGGGAGGGTTCAGCTGGGCACCTGGCTCAGAGGGAGCGTCCAGTGTGAGCTGTTGTGTGGCAGTGGTTGTCGGACTTTGTTCAGCCCCGGACCTCCGTGGCGGCTGGCCCTGTGGTAGGTTCCAGCATGAGGAGGTGACCTCGAGGAGCTCACAGGCTGCTGGAGGGCACAGAGCAGCCCACAAAAAGTTCCGCAGGGGGTGGCCAGTCTGTGAGAGGGAAGCTCTGGGGGCAGAGAGGAGGGGCCTGGCCCAATGTGGGGGTCAGGGAAGCCTTCCTGGAAGAGGTGACAGCTGAGTGTGGTCCCTCCTTAGCTTCCGGATCCCAGCTCACTCCCTGACCCTCGTCCTAGCTGCTTGAGCCCTGGAAGCCTGGCAGGTCCTGGCTGTGCAGGGACTTGGGACAAGGGGCAGTGGGTGGCAAGACCAGGATCCCCCTGCCAACTGGTGCTAAAGAAGCACTGAGCCCACTCCCACCTCCCAGCCAGTCCGGAACACGCCCACCCCGCCCACAGCTCCAGCACCATGGCCCTACCATCCGCCCTCTGCAGCGGGCCCCCTGGCGGCTGCGGACACTCACGTTTGGAGTGCTTGTCACACAGGGCAGCTGCGCGCATGTCGCAGAGGCGCAGCGAGCCCTTGCTGCTGCTGTAGACGAAGAGGTTGCAGTGGTGCGGGTGGAACTCGGACGCAGTGATCACCTCCGTGAGGTCCTCCATGTTGGCTGGCTTGATGTCCACGATGTCTGGGCGGCAGGTCAAGGAAGAGGCAGTGAAGGAAGGGCACCCTTGCTGCTCTGCCTCCTGGAGCTCAAGACCCTCAGGTCTCCCCAGCACCTCTCCTCAGGTATCCATCTACCCTGCGTCTCAGCACCTCTCCACTCCCACAACTCTCGCACAAACACCAGGCCCAGAGAGTCTGTCCCATCCTCCCACCCACAGTGGCCATCCACTGTCCCCACAAGGCTGGACCCGCCGCCTCCCTCCTGACCTGTGGAGGGCACCCAGCCAGTGCCCATCAGCTGCCCAGCTCACACGCAGGCCGACTTGCGAGGCCTCTCCTCTCCTCCCACCTCTCCTACCAGTTGCCGAGTAGAAAGCAAGGAGCATTTACTGAGGCCTACTACATGCTGGACCATGGACGCTCTTGGTGAACAATTTCTGTTCTCCCCCTCACTCCGCGAACTGTGTCTGGAGCTGAGCGTACGGGCTTCTGTCAGCTCCCCCCACCTCCTTCACCCCAGCACCCGCCCTTCTGTGCACAGCATCAAGACTCTCCCTTGGGAGAAGGGTCTCTGCCTTTCTGGGGTTTCACTCTGACCTGTGCCTTCCACTCCCCACTCACAATCACCATGAGGGATGAGCAAACAATGTTGGCTGTGCCAATGGAGGGACCCCAGAACCGGGAATACTGGGGTGCAGTTCCGTTACCTCTGCTGGGCTGGGTGGTGTGGAGAGGAGGGGGAAACCCTGGGGCCTGAGGGTGGGGCAGACAGCACCAAAGACAGAGTGGAGAGAAAGATCTGGCAGTACCTTTTGAATCCTGGATCAAGCTGCACCTGAAGCCATGACGCCTGGACTGTTAAATATGGAAGTCAATAAATCAGTTTTCTGTTTAGGGTCAAGAATTTTGTTGCTTGAAAAGCAACTCTGGAGCCCAGAGAGGGTAAGCAACTTGTCCAGGGTGACTCAGTAGTGAGTGGTAAGGCTGGATTCAGCTTCATGACCTCCCGGGTTCCAAGTCTTATCTTTTCCTGTCCACTCACCACTGCCTACAACAGAAATCAGAACCCCCTGGTGCAGCATTCAAAGCCTGGCACGCTCTGGCCTCTTTATCTTTCCAGCTTCAGATTCTACTAGTTGCTTTGCCCAAAAGGCACTGTCCTTCCCAACAGTGACCTCCTTAGTCTCTGGTCTCCCCAGCTCTGCCTGGGACTCTGCACAGCCTGTTCCCTTTGATGAAAATGCCCCTCCTCCCTCTTCCTTTGCCCGGGAGCACTGGAGTCAGAGGGTCTGGGGTTTGAATCACTGCTCTGCCACCTCCTGGCCGTGTGGTGGTGGGTGAGTCCCCAGCTCACCGTGCCTCAGTTTCCTCAACTGTCAAACAAGTTAACAGTTCTAACCTCATAGGTTTGCACACCGCCTGACACATCGCAGAGCTCAATGAACGTCAGCTGCCATTATCATGTCCTGTTATCTGGAAAATACCAGCTGAAACTCTACGACTTGTCCGCCGTCAGCCCTCCTTCTCCTCCCACCCAGGCTGCTTCCTCTCCCAACAAGAAAGGGGCACTTTCCGACTTCTGGAAACACGAGAGTTTATAAAATATCAGAGAAGATGGTTGAATCCGTGCACCGAGGAGGGCCTCCGTGCTCACACTCAGGTCTTGCTTCCTGGAAACTAGAACCATATGAAAATATGAAGAGAGGGAAAAGGAGCCACGTCATCAGTGCCTGACCTGGTTTCCCAGGAAACTGGTTTTCTGGTAGATAAGAGGCCGAGATTAAATCACGAAAAACGAGACTGAAGGTTAGGAGAAAAAAAGAGCCAAGACTTCTGGAGGCTAATTCCACCACCATCAACCTCGCAGCCCCCCTTCGCGGGCTGAGCGCCTGCTGGAGACTTTCCGCGAGGCTCTGCCCACTCAGGAACGGCTTTAATTTCTCACTGGACTTAAAATGGAGACTGGAGAACAAGGGCGTTGTTTATGAACAGTCACACACGTTAGCACAGCACCTGTTAGCGCTCCGCACCAAAGGGTCAGGGCAAACAGTTATGACATTCTCTCCACAGGATTTGGGACACAAAAGTCACAGGAGGCCTGGTAGGGACAGACATGCCCAGGCCTCGGGGAATGCAGGCCGGGTTCGAATCTTGGTTGTGTCACTTGTTAGGGAACAGGTTATAACCTCCTGGGGGGGAGGGGAGGACTCAATGGGATGAAGTGAAAATGCCTTGCCCATAGGTGGTTCTCTGAACATTCCAGGGAGAGACTTGTCCATCGGCCCCAGGGGACTCAGGACAGCCAGCTGGCTTGTTGCTTTTGCCAACAAATGGAGGGCAGAAGTGAGAAGTGACATGTGTCACTTTCAGGCTGAAGCTCTGAGAGCCAGCACGTGGTCTGCCATGACACTTTTCCCTCTGCCAAGAGACCCGCACCTCAGGTGACCTGTGGTGGACACAGAGCATGGACAAGAAATACCCTGGGCTGCTGTGAGCCTCTGAGACTTTCTGATTGTCACCTCAGGAATATCTGGCCCTCCTGACTGATTCAGTGTCCAAACACTCTTTCCTTTCCAGCCTCAGAATGTTCTAGAACCAAGGTCAATGGAGAAGGTTCAGAGGTATGACATCTGAACTGAGCCTTGGGGAGACTGTAGCTGGTGTTATGAACGTCTTCTTAACCTAGGAAGCTGTGGACGCTGGTGGCCAGAGAGAGAGAGCAGTGTGGGGCTCAGAAGCCCCATCTCCCAGCCCCCACACCCTGGTCCCAGACTCACAGAGGGGCCAAGCAAATGCATGTGGCCTTTCCACTTGATTATAGAGTGCGTGCTTCCTGCTTCCTGCTGAGGGCGCCCCCCGTCATGCTGAATGCTTCTGATGGCTTCATGACGACGATATTCACTCTCCTCATGGCTTTGGCCTGCCTTCTCCAAACACTCATCTGTAGAAGGCCATGACGGCTTTTAAAAGTACAGAGGGCTCACTCATGTCACAGCCCTCTGCAGGACACATGCCTGAACCTGGCACACAGAGCGGGCCAAGGTGCGATGCTCTGGACGAAGGCCCGTGTGTGGGCTGGGGAGACAGCCACCCATGCGTGGGTCCTGCCAACAGCCCAGGACTGAGGTTCTCACAGCCCGAGCATCACTCGGGGGATCTCTCTTGCTGTTTCAAGGACTGGATACAGAGGGTGCTGAGGAAAGACAGATGTGAAACCAGAGCCTTCATTTCCACAGGAGGACCCTGGTCACAGGCATGGCCAACGTGTCAGGGTTCCACCGGGCAGGGGCTCCCTGAGGCCCAGCGGGCAGCCGGTCACCTCTGAATCCCAGGGCCCACAGCCACGCCCAGCACCTCCGGAACACACAGCGTCCTTCAGGGTGTGGCCACCCAACCAGGTCCATGGTCACCTGATCCCAGGACGGCCTCTCCAAGACCTCAGCTCAGCCCGCCACAGGACCTGCCCGGTGCAGGCCCAGCCCCAGCCCCTCGTTTGTGCCATTGGGCGTGTGAAAGGACTCAACTATTGAGTGGGGCTGTCCCTGCTGAATCCCCTTAGTCACATCACAGAGGCCTGAAGACGGATTCCTGACAAGGGAAGGAAGTGTGGAAGAAGCCCCCTCAACACAATAACTATGCCCCAGACAGACACGGCCAACACTCCTCCTGGACTCACCCCACGCGGCCATGTGTGGACTCTGAGACACCTGGTCCAGCAATGACCATACATGGTGGCTTTGACTACAGCAGGACCTGTGCTGGGCTGTACGTCAGGGGCCTTGGGCAGGGCATCCCGTCTTAGCTCTCTCCGGAATGTTCAGTGTCACGTGCAAAAGTCATTCCCACTCCAGAAGCCTCGATTTACCCCATTGGCCAAATGAGGGGTTGAGCGTGATCCTGGAGCACTCTTTGATTTCGAGGATTAACCCCCACACGGACTCTCCCCTATTTCATGATCAGCTGCACTAATCCCACCTGTAGGACGGCGCTCCACAAGGTCCACGTCGGGACTGACCTCCCTCGGGAAGGACCGTAATAAGACTCATCTACGAGCCCCTCCCCCTGGCAGAGCTGGATGAATGATTCACGTTCTATTTTCCCACCTAATTGTCCTCCACCGTCTGACGGGCTTTTGTTTAACTTCCGATCACACTTTGGCAGCTAGGAATGACTCTCCCTACAAGGAAAGTTTGTCAGCCCTGGGCAGGCAGACAGAGGAGCAGGTCCCGCAGAGAGGATGGAAAGGAGAGAAGGTAACCCCACTCCAGGCCCACACCCCTCGGCCGAGCACAGGGTGCTCTCTGGTGCAGTGGGCTGAATGGTGGCTCCTCGACATACATGTCCACATCCTGACCCCCAGAGACTGTGAATGTGACCTTATTTGGAAAAAGGGCCTTTGCAGATGTAATCAAGTTAAGGATCTCAAGATGAGACTTCCTGGATTAGGGTGCGCTTAAATCTAGTGACAAGTGTCCTCATAAGAGACACCCAGAGGGGATGCCACGTGGCGATGGAGGGATGGAGGCAGAGACTGGAGTGATGTGGCTGCAAGGAACACCCAGGGCCACCAGGAGCTGGAAGAGGCCGGAAGGATCCTCCCCCGGAGCCTTCAGAGGGAGCATAGCCCTGCTGACACATTGATTGTGAAATTTTGGCCTTCGGAACAGTGAGAGAGTAGATTTCTGCTGTTTTAAGCCACCCAGTTTGTGGAAATTTGTTACGGAAGCCGGGGGAAACTCAGACACCCAGGTTGCCTCGTGGGACCTGGGGAGAAATGACACGGGCATGACGCTAGTACCATGGACATCTTCCTCTACATCCATCCCAGACCGCTTCTTTCTTTGCAATTCCATGTTTTAGCAGCCCCAGCCCTGGGATGCCAAGGCAGGAGTCAGGGCAGCTTCCGGATCCTTCCCTCTCCCTCCTTCGCCACATCCAACTGGCCTCCACGTCCTGGGGCTCCTCCTCCTGAAGACCCCTCTGCTCTGCCCCTCAGCCCAGGCCATCTCTGCCCCAGTGGGG